TGCTGGCCTCAATAACCACTCGTTGCTTACAGGTTTTGTGCGTCGCATTATAACCTCTTGGGAGGGCACATCATCAGCCAGGCCATAAGGGTTTAAGGAAATTTGCTGGAAAGTGATTAAAATAGGAAACAGCCTTTGGTGTTCCTGGACTAAATGATGATTTTTTCCCTTTTTGCATCTAACAATTACAATTTCATAACTCGTTAAATATTAAGAAAACAGTATTAATTGAAGTGTTTTTAAAAAAATTATCTAATGAACTGTGTATCATTTTTTGCAAAATATTTATTTCTTTGTTTTTTACTTTCCAGTAACAAATTCTGAAGCAGTAAATGAATTTTTCCAATTTTTAAATGTAACTATGTGCTAAAGGAAATGCCAATTAGATATAAATATTAAATTCATTTTTCACACAATTGAAAATTCTTCATAACAACAACTTATTTACAAATTTTTTTTATTTTTTTTTTACATTTTTACACTGTAGTAATAATTTTTTAAATAAAAAGTTAAGGATGTGCCTATCAATATGTGATAAAAGCTTTGACACTTATGTCAAAACAGGTGTGAAAAAGGATTTTTTTAATGGAAACAAGTATTTAATATTTTCCCGTTTGCGTACTCGTGACAATGCAACATTTGCCGTCTTGGAGGAATTTTGTCACAGTCAAACCATAATATAACATTAGACAATGTTTGGCCTTGCGATTGATATATTGTATTTGCATACCCAATACGTAATGGATAACTTGTTACATTCTCATTATTTGTACATGTTGTCACTTGATAAATTGGCACAATTGTCTTATTTGGCAATTCAAGGAAAATTGTGCTGTTATGGGACGCATGTACACTAGCAATTTGGCCATTAATGTGTCTATGTTTTGGGTAATTATTACTCTCATTCTTTTGAAAACAGGCAAAAGATTGGTTTGACCATCGAAAGAAATATGAGCTAATGGTTCATCTTGAGCGAAAATCAACTTCACTATTAAAGTATTTAAGTAGTTTGCAGCATTGTTGGAAAAAATGTCAAAAGTGTAACATTTTCTGACTGCATGAATTGGGCCATTAACTTTTCTTCACACATTTGTCCATCTACACATATGACCATTTCCCTTTGGAACTAGTCCAAAAACTTTTGCTCTGGTTGCCAATGTCTGATATGATCTAAGAATGTCAAATATTCCTTATCTCCAAATCTATGTTGTCCATGCAGGAAAAAGTGATAAGTAGAACTAACAAATTGCTCATTATTAAGTGGACTTTTCACATTGACTATTCATTTATCGTCTTTGACAAACGGTTGCTGCTGAGAAATATCTCCTCCAAGTATCAGAACAGGCCTAAAAAGTATTCTATTAAGTGTAGAAATAACATGTTTGAAATTTTCGTCTGAAATCATTGAAATTTCATCAATCACGACAAGGTCATATTGTGCAATACCCCAGTTAATTTTTGCTCGTTCTGTATCTGAAAATGGCAAATGAAATGCAGCATGTACTGTGTCACATGTAACATCTTCCGAAAGTACAGCTCGAAAATGGCTAGTTAAAAGTCCAGTTGGTGTTGAAACTAGAACATTTTTTTGCTTGTGAACAAAATATCTAACGATTTGGCAAATTGTCTCAGTTTTTCCAGATCCCGGTTTTCCTACAACTGAAATTGGCTTTCTCCACTCAAAACCTTCGTTATGAAACATGCTTAAATCATTTTGTGTATAATGTTCTAAGTTTTCATTGTTTATAATGTTCTAAGTTTTCATTGTTTATACTGTTTCCATGGGTAATAGTCCACAATCATTTGACTGATCGTCTTCACTAGTGTTCTCTGAATCTAATGCACTAGTGCAATTTGGTCCATGTTGACAACTATAGTATTTCTCTCTTAAAGTCATGGCTTTTTTAACGTGCCAAAAAACAGCAGTTTGATAAGCATCAAGAGAAATTAACCTTTCTTGTTGAAAATTAGTTGTCAATTGTGCTGTCTTCAACATTTCAATTTTCCATAGGCAATAAGAGTTTTGCAAACTCTCAATGTAAGATATAATAGTTGTTACAAAAGACTTTCTGTGAGAGTTGCGACCCTAAACATCGGGACGCTGACTGGAAAGAGCAGAGAAATAGCAGACATGATGAAGAGGAGGATCGACATACTATGCTTACAAGAGACAAGATGGACTAGTGGGTAATCAGGAGGAATGGGAAGAAACATCGGAGAGAGCTACAAGCTGTACTACAGCGGAGGAGGAAAGCCAAAGAATGGAGTGGCTACATGCCTGAGTGAGGAATGGCAAGATAAAGTGATAGAGACCCAGAGAGAGTCCGATAGAATGATAACTATGAAACTGGTAACACCTGACAAGACGTTCAACATCGTGACTGCCTATGCACCTCAGCAAGGCTGTGAAGAAGACGAGAAGCGGCGATTTTGGAAACAACTTGAAGAAGTGACCACCAATGTGAAGGAAACAGAGCAGCTGATTGTGGCAGGTGATCTTAATGGGCACATCGGAAGAGAAGAGAGTAGAGGGATTTTGAGAGATGGCATGGAGGAAAGTCAATCGGAAGAAGAAATGAAGGAGATAAGATCTTAGACTATGCAAGGAGCAAGGACCTCGCAGTGGTAAACATATTCTTCACACAGAGGGATAGAAACACCTACACGTACAAAAGTGGCCTTAGCCAGACCGTGATAGATTTCATCATGATAAGGAGAGATGACCTAGGCGATGTTAAAAATTGTAAGGTTATCCCTGGTGAGGAAATTGCACTGCAACATAGACTCGTTGTGATGGATTGTAAGATCAAGAAGAGGGGAAGAATAAGAAGAGAGAGACCAAAGAAGATCAACTGGTGGAAACTACATAATGAGGAAGGAGATGAGCTGGAAAGTAAGATCACAGAAATGCTAATGGAACAAAGCATGGTGGGAGATTGGAAATGGAATGAAACATACCCCAATACACTAGAAGCAGCAAAGGAGACACTGGGAGTTAGTAGAGGTGGGAAATACATAGAAAAAGAATCCTGGTGGTGGAATGAGGAAGTACAAGAGGCTGTGAAGAACAAGAAAGAAGCTTTTAAGAGATGGAAGAGATCTGGTTTGGAGGAAGACAGGGAGACTCTGATCAAGAAATGAATAAGATCAGTGAAGAAAAGTGTGCGATTGTTAGAGAGTAAGGTCAGGATCAATTATACAAAGATCTGGAGCAAAACGGACCGAAAAGAATCTACAAGTTAGCTAAAACTCGACAGAGAAGAGCAAAGGACATTGACAAGATCACTTTTGTCAAGGATGAGCAGGGAAAGATCGTGAGCGAAGATGAGAAAATCAAAGAGCGATGGAGGGAATATTTTGATAGACTTTTGAACACGAAAAACAACAGGAAAGAACTATACCATTTTGAACCAGTCCATGGGCCAGTACCAGAGATTACGGAAGATGAAGTGAGAAGACAACTCAAGAAGATGAAGAACAATAAAGAAAGAGGACCGGATGAGCTCCCCATCGAACTAGTGAAGAAATTGGGAAACACAGGAACAGAGTGGATGAAATCATGCTGCAGAGAAATAATGAAGACAGGAATACCAGGAGAATGGAGAACAAGCAGAATAGTGCCCCTTTACAAACAGAAAGGTGATCCCCTAAGCTGTGGAAACTATCGAGGCATTAAACTCCTCTGCCACTCACTGAAATTATTTGAGAGAGTGATAGAGGTGAGGCTGAGAGAAATAGTGAAGATAAAGGACAACCAATATGGATTCCAACACGGAAAATCAACCACTGAGCCAATGTTCTGTCTGCGGATGCTGCAAGAGAAGTATAGAGAATTCAACAAAGAGCTACATATGGTTTTCGTGGACCTTGAAAAGGCATATGATACAATCATATGCCTTGGAGTCAGCCTGGAGGAGCACAGAACAAATGAAAGCATAAGAGAAGAAGCGAATGTCATGAGTATACTGGAATTGATGAGAAGAAACAGACTGCAGTGGTTCGGACATGTGTCCCGGCGTGAAGACGATGTAGACATTCGGAGAGTTTATGAGATGCAAGTGGAGGGGAGACGGAAGCGAGGACGCCCAAATAGTCCGTAATCTGTGACCGATTTTCTTTCATTCCCGTTGGACACCTCAAGGAAGGTCGTGAAAATTTCAAGACAGAACGACTTTTACATGCTTAATACAATTTTACTTATTGTCATCTCCAAAAAGCTGCAGTTTTTTTGCTACATCACATTGAAATTTTAAAATTTGTAGCTCATTACAATTCCGAAATCCGCCATTATTCCCAGGAAACTTCATGTAATTTATATTTTGTGTGCTCGTGCCAGACCTATAACAGAGCTATTCCACTCGGTTAAATTGACAACCTGAGTAAGATTCTTAAAAAAAATAACGATTTGACACGTGCATTAGGTTAGATTTAAGAAATTTTCGTTAAGATGATATTTTGAAAGTTGTAAGAGTATTGTGCAAGACAAGGCCCTTTTCTAAAGGTGCATTGTCACGCAGTTCGACTGCTAGCGAGTAAGGATAGGGACGATTTTCTTCCAATTTTTAGACTTGTAGACATTTTAGCTATTTCATATGCTTTTCATTACTGGAAAATTTTATTGCATTGTTAAAAAACAGAAAAAAAGAAATTCATTCTTCAGTTGGTGAGCTTCTGGTATTATTTCATATGCTACCCTCGATACAGTCGACAGAGTAGTCTGAAGCTGCGCACAGATTAAACGCAACGCTAGTCGTCATTCAAGGGCGGTGACAAGCGCGCGCTTTTCTAAAGGTCTGCCTCGAATTCGTCGTCCATGTCATCGTCTAAAAACTCCTCTTCCTCAACATCGTTGTCATCAATATCGACATTCGTGCATGCAGTACAAGAGCATACATCTGTGCACTTCACTCCTGCTTTATTACATGAGCAACGTTGTGAGTTGCAGCCAGTCTTACATCCACAATTAACATTATCAAGTAGGGAATCCGGCTGGGGAATGGTCATCCATACGATTTGCAGTTTCCGTCAATTGTTTTCCACCCATTTTCATCCGGAGGAGGAATATCCATTTGAGGTTGTAAACAGGAACGCCAAATCGCCGCTTGGTAGTTTGACCGACGAATATGTTGCAGCAAACTGTCACAAGTTGGTGGTAGTTGCTCATCTGAACATTTTCCTGCCTTGAACAATGAGAGCCGACATTTGTTGACGTCCTCAGAATCCTTGTCACCGTACAATAAACAAACAAATCTATTTAGTTGAAACACAAGTTCTTCTGACGGGGGAAATGCACTTCCTAAGGAACTAAATGAGTTCAAATATTTGTGGTTACGTAGAAGAATGTTCCACGCTGTCTTTTGCCCTTTCCATAAAAGAACTGGTGGTGTCACATCCTTAAAAGAAAATTTTGAAAATATTGATTACAGTATACTATTCTTTCACTTATTATCATCGTAACAAAAAGAAAACTAATGGCAGCATTGGTGTTATAGAATTACCAGTAAAGGCATGGAAACCTAGCAAGCTTTGACTAAGATTTTCATCACTTTCTTCTACAATAGTTTGTATAGAAATCAAGCGGAAGTTATTTCCTGTTCCAGTCATGAAGCATATTTCTTTGTTAATAATTCGTTGCATGGCGATCGACAACACAAAAACGTCTGTATCTTGGCTTTTGATTATGATTCTTTCGTTGGTTTCTTTAGCATGATTTGCATGTAGTAAGAGCCGAGTGTCAGCTTCCTCGTGATTACACTCCAATTCATACATTTCATTGCATTCCACTTTATCCTCATCTGATCTAGCTCGAGTAATGCAATAGCATTTATCCTTCGACGTTACATACAACGATGACAGATGTCCGAGACAAGATGATACGTAATTGCCCCAGTGTTCACAAAGAAACTGGATCAAAGACTCTTTGTTTTCGCCCAGAGCAAGAAACTTTTTCCACTGCTTTGGAACATGTTGGTTTTTGTCGAATACACGAATTTTCTGAATTCCAGTGTTTTCGGATCTTCTGTTCCTTTCCGATTCCTTTATACTTGTGGGAAGGTATCTATCCGCAACAAAGTCAACTCTTGTTGCCTTCCAGTCTTTGGCCAACTTTAATACGTTATTAAAAATAGCATCGCAGAATTCTCCAAACGTTTTCCATTTGCTCTTCATTGTTTGGATAAGAGCCATGGCATCGACAATGAGTGCATTGTTATCACAGTGTTCTCCATTAAACTTGCACGTGAGGTGGTCACCTATACAGTAAACATAGTAAGAAATTCCTGCATGAATAAGAACCCAATTTGAGGTGTATTGGATTCTGGGGATTCTTTGTAAATCCTACCTATCGAGATAATAACGAAACCTACCGAAGTCCAACACTAATAAAGCTAACAAAGAGAAACGTTATTTGTACCTTCAAAAATTTCAAATAACTTGGATTTGGTTGTTTTAACAAGACTTCCAGAAGTGGTTGCCAAGGAAAGCGGGTACGTGCCAAGACTGTACGACAAAACATTTGCAATGTCAATTTCACGGGTCTTAGCTATCATCAATAGCCGAGCGAATAGGTCTCTGTTCATTTTTAAATTGATTTCTTTCCCTTTGCTGGTTGACACAATTGACCGTTTCTGGCACAAAGATCTGAAATCTTGTTACGGGTGAACTTTGCAAAATGTCGGTTTTGTACTCAAAAGATTATCTCGTGCAAATTTAATACACTGCTCCTCCCCTATTTTTTCTGCCCCCAGGAGTTTATCTGCAATCTCATCTTCCACCACCAAGCCACTTGCCAAACCAACCAAATTTTCTTCCTCAACATCAAACGGATTGTTCATGCTCAACACTGCAGACATTACGTTCTTCACTAATTTTTCATTAAGTGCACACTTAGTTCTGTCAAGATCTTTGCGGCTCCTGTAAAAATACCGTGCGATACAATTCATGACAATTCGTGTATAGTTAGAGAAACTGCTAATCTACCTTGGAGTAATGTTAGAACCATCCATACTCTTGCATTTGTTAGCAATTGCGGCTCTTTCTGATTGGGCTAACAACCATCTGTGGACCGCCGACCGATTTAATGAAAAACCAATAATGCCTCCCTTGGTTTTGGAGTCACGATTTACGGTTTGTTCAATCATCTGGTCACAAGAAACTGCGGAGAATCCGTGACAATCTTGGCGTTGGACTGCGAAAGTTGTGGATAAATCGGGAACAATCTCTTTAGAATGTAGAAAACAGTCGAAATGAAAATCTTAGAATCGAACTGTCTATTCTTTTATTTGTAGCTGTTAATTGGGATGCACAAATTTCATTAGATTATACCAACCAGGGTGTGTATTTTCCAATGCTGTCATTTCCAGCCAATAAGCAGTCCCGTATCTGGCATAGTTTATACGATCGCAAATAAAAAACCATGGCAGCATACATCTGAACGACGCTAAATGAAGGTTCCAATCGACTTCTCGAGTTGCCCGAATGAAGTGCAGCAGGATTTCTAAAATGTTAAAAACATTAAAGTGAGGCAGCAAAATATGAAAAAAATGTGAGGGTCTCATGCTGCATGACAGGTCTTTTTGTATACATACAGTACTACTACATGAACAATGTTGTAAGAGTAACAAACTGCACAAGGCCTTTTATTAAAGAAGCCAACAACTTTCGGCATAGTACAACGTGTGCTCTCCAAACATCAAAACCAATGCAAGTCATAAATTATTTTAGAGGAAAATGTCTTACATTTGCGCAGCGTAAATGTATGATGTAAGGTTTGCACGAAGGACAAGCTGGTATATAGTACATACCAGTCATTTTTATGTACATGCTCCAGAATGCAAAGGTTTTAGACTTTATGGATGATTTCTCAACAAACTGCTCATAGTTCCTCACGAGTTGCTCCATTTGCTGACTTTCGATACAGTCGATGAGCTTGCCGTTCGCAAAACAATCAGCCACGTTTTGAATGGATGTTGCAACACTCTCTTTTTGCTGATTATCGATTGAATCCAAGTATGCATCGAATCGAAGACGTTGCAAGGCTTCATACACCAATTTATGACACATAATTGATCGGTTGTAGTGCTTTCCGGACAAGACACCTCTTATTGATCCAACGCTGATAATTCCCGATTCAATGAGCACATCCTACAAGGAAATTGAGTACAATAATGTGACTTGGAAACCCAATGTTAAATAAGACAAACATGGCCTCTTGCTGTTAAGCAAAATACATTCTAAAATGTAAAATTTTATTGTTAAAAAATACTCGTTCACTTGAAAATAGCGAGTTTCTAAGAAAATCTAGGCAATTACCTTCAAACCAACATCTTGAAGAGTTTTGATATAGCAGAAAGGTAGCTCATGCTGGCATGAAACTCTCCTAGTCTAACAACAAATCGGTCATAAAAAGCTGTTCTTTCCACCTAATATGTTGTATTTTAGCATAAACTGCTTCATCAAAAACAAGGACAGCTTGTTGCAAACGTAATTTTCAATTATTGTTATGGCAGACTTTAGCACTTCATTTAGAGTTGAGTATTCTGTTGGGGAGGCATCCACTATTGGAAGATAACCAACTCTTGACACATTAGGTATGGTATCTTTTGCAGTATAGTGTTGAATCCGGACCATCCCGGCCAGAGGTTGTCTTCATCAGTAGTAAAATATTTTATCATGCAGTACGCAAGGTTCAGTTTTCGACATTTGAGAGTGAAGTCATTGCTCTCCAAAGGCTGCATAACTGACTTGTCTAGGTAGATCCATCAAATGTAGGAGTTTTCTTTGTAGCAATACCATAAGGTGCAATAGCTACTAGAGGTGCTACTACTGTACGTTGGTTTTCTTAATTGGTACTTGGCATTCTCTTGTACGGCATGCAAGCTTGGGAAACGTTTCCGGCACAACTTTTTGGATGATGATACCTGTTTTAAAGAAGAACATGTCAGATTATCAAAAAGCTTCTAGAATAAAAAAGCTTCGCATAATTTGAAACTGTTCTAATTTCGACTGGCAATATGACTGACATACCATTTGTCACATGTGTTTGTTTTGTAGCATCTTCTTGGAAATCGATATTATCATACACAAGGGTGATATGCTTTCCCTCTACAAAATCTTTAGGGATGGTATTCAAACTATTAATCGTCAATTGGGCAATAGCTGATTCATAAGCCATCGTTGATGGTAAAGATACACAATGACCAAGACCATTAAGTAGTGTAATTAAGCTGGAGCAACCAGACATTTGTCGAACTGCCATGGCTAATGACAAAGATTTTGGAGTCTGCACTTTCCCACTGCTGAAGACATATATCAAATCTTGGCAGATAGAAAATACCTTGAGAGCTTGCTTTTCCTGTATTTGAACATAACCAGCGCGTTCTGGCTCATCAGAAAAGCCAAGCAGCCATGCAATAAAGTTAAATACCATTGGTGACACTAATTTTTTTCACGCTCTCCAAAGTAATATCAGAAGCTAGTGGAGGCCATGTACCATACCAGGATACTGGATTCGTGGATTCAAATTCCTTTCTTAATGCCAATGCAACATTATAAATTTCATGCAACGTAGTGCCTGCCCTGTATACTGCATCTGGCAAGAACTGTTCAGGTTCCTCACCATCATCAGAAATTTCTGTTGACACTTCATCAGCGAAGGGAATATTCTCTACTATTGAACTTGGTTGAATGCAACCTGAGTAAACCATCTCACTTTTGTTACGCTGTTTAGGGGTTTGAAATATTAGTTGTGGAAACCGTTTTTTCATTCGTTGCATCTGCATTTTCAACACGTGCAACAAATTTAACAAACTTTTCTTTAACCTTTGCCATGTAGAAAATACTTTCTTCTTGTATTATTTGCACTTTAATGAACTCTTCACTAAAAGCATTAAACCCTTCATTGTATAAGGGTTTTTGAGTGGATTCTTCACATTCAGCAGGGTCAACTTTATGGTGTTTGAGGAATGAGGTGTATTTTTGATAACATCCGTGATGATACTTCACTTCTAAAGCAACCAAGTCTTTTCCTCTAATGTGTAGCAAAATACTTTCATCACCCTTAATTTCTGCTGCTTTCCTAAGTCGACCACCATCTAGCGTTCTTGCCGTATATAGTGGATCCCGTTTCTTACTTATCTTAATAAAAATTGTGTGAAAAGTGACGCAGAATTAGCATGAAAAAAATATTCCACATTATGGTTTAAATTCACAGCAGTGGTGGCACCAAGAATTCTCCGACAGAGGGGCTTAGGTCCTCGATGGCGGGTCTGACTTACTTGGCTTGTGGAACAATGCGTTTTCCATGCAAATCTTTTTTTTCAGAGAAAACTTCAAAAGTTATTACAAATCCTTGCTTTAATGTATTCAGTTTTGGCTGATTTGAAATTTAAGCAGTAGAGGTTTTTTGCATTTTTTTACAAAATATTCCCTATCCAAATTCGAAAGTCGAGTTGCAAAAAACAACTTCTGCCCCCAGCTCCCTACTCTAGTGCCACCCGTGCGTGATTTACAGCTACGTTTACCTACCCTGTCAGTGTAGTATGAATGCTCCTTCTTGCAAATGACACAGGTTGGAGGTAACACGTGCTGGCTTTAATTCTTTCAACAGTGAATGATTTTGATCGCAGCATTATCTTTTCTGGAGATGGTCCTTCCTGCTGTACAGACGTAGAAGGCTCTGTATCGGTTGACGTTTTTGCACTCTTTTCAGAGCGTCGTTGTGCTCGATGTATTAAAGTTTTATTCGTAAATGCCGAATAACAACGTGAATGGTAAAAGTAACGCTCGTAACTTCCCAAGTTATCCTCTAACTCCTCGATAGGAATCACATTCGTGGTTTTCAAGGCTACGTCTTTCTGTCGTCCATCAAGTTGTAGCCATTGCTTTCTGCATTCCAGGAACCGTTTAAACGATGTTGGTGTAAAATTCCTCAGTGTTCGCCGTCATCTTCGCAATGAATCAAACACGAATGCCTTTCTTCCATGTTTGTTGAGTTCGAGTTACTCGCCATATCTCTTTCTTAGTATACTTTATATCTCAAGTAACAACCACGAGAGAACTTAATGATGTAACTGATTTTTATTATTTTACACACCAGTATTTATACTCTTTATTACAAACAACAAATATTATTATTGGCGGAGTAGTTCCTCTGTTTAAGCTATATATGGTACATAAGGAAATTTAACTAACGTCAATAACTGTTCCTTGGCTCTTAGCCGTGTGGGAACGGATACATTGGTAAACCAAACTACGCACATACTATTTCCTTAACATGTTTTGTGGTTTATGAGCATGACTCAACAATATTTATTATCAAAACATTGGCAGTATTTTCATGTATGATTTTTAAACGAATCAAACACGAATGCCTTTCTTCCATGTTTGTTGAGTTCGAGTTACTCGCCATATCTCTTTCTTAGTATACTTTATATCTCAGTAACCACCACGAGTGAACTTAATGATGGAACTGATTTTTATTATTTTACAGAGCAGTATTTATACTCTTTATTACAAACAACAAATATTATTATTGGTCGGAGTAGTTCCTCTATATAACCTTGAGTTCTTAAAACTGACAAGATTTAGGTCTAAAACAGGCTTCTCCTATGTTGATACATAAGTGCAAAGCTGACAGTTTAGGTTTGCTCCCAAAATTTTGACAGAATTCTTCATTTAAAACTTACATTTCACTTTGACTTTATTAAGAATATCGCTTTTTTGCCACCTTTCAAGATGGTGCCCGTTAATAAATTTGCCTCACCATGACAACGGCAGTTAGATCAAAGAGTTCCGCACCAAACAAAATGGCGACATTCAAAATTGAAGGAGCGAGGAATTTTGAAATTCAACCGCAAAATACTAAAAAACTGCAGCTTTTTAGAAGTGACAATAAAAAGAATATCAAACAGCAAGTGACTTTCTATCTATTTTGAAAATTTTGCGACCTTCCTTGAGGTGTCCAACGAAACTCGTTTTTAAAGCATATTTTTGAGGCACAGATCACGGACTAAAAGCATCGGTGGAAGGATACCATCAGGAGAGACATGCAGCTATGTGGTGTCAAAGAAGAGGATACCCAGGACAGAGCAGCCTGGAGAAGTCTGATAGAACTGGGTCTCTGGCAAAGACCCGCTACCCGAGCAGGACACAGCGGAGAAAGGTGACCATTAAATATTGATATGCTTGTATGCATCTTTGCATATCATCATCATTGGTCAGTTGTCTTATCTTTTGCATAACTGAATTTGGAGAGACTCTTAATTTTATTATCCCAGTTTTTACTCTATACCCATGCTGTTTCCTTTTGTACACACCACAATCAAGGTCAAAGGGCCTTAAAGTAATGACATTTTGTATTGAAAGGTTTTGAAGTAAAATAGGAATTTGGTTTATTTGTGGGACAATATACCTCCTTGTATGACAATGACATTTAGTTCTTTCACTCACTGCTGTTTTTGTGCAATGTTGTGTGGCATTTGCACAAATACTATTGAGTTGCATAAAGTACAGGTATAAAAATTACAGTGCTTAGCCCAGTTCTCAATGGAAAAGGCTGTATCTAAAACAACATTACATATATTACTGTTTGCACTTGCAAATAAAGAGCGATCTTCAAAAAATTTTTCCCTCTCGTGCAACTCTCTTTTCTATTTGATAATAAATCTGAATGGTAGTTTGCAATTTTAAGATCTCGATTGGCATTAAAGGTTATTATTGATACCTGTCTGGATTTTATCGATTGTACATTGTTTAACCTATGATTTATTCGTGCCATGCTTATATTTTATTGCTTTAATCAATTTTAACACAAAATATGGGAATGCAAGAACACTTCGAGAGAAATAAAAATAACGAAAATAATCACTAAACAAATGTACAATAATACCTTTCAAATGAGTTGTTTGCCTAATGTTACTTGATGGAAACAAAAAATCCCGTTTAACTAAAAGTGGACACAAAAAGTATATCACAAAATACAATTCAACAGTAAAAATCAATGATATAAAAATGCAACATAATAATCTCCACTTTAAAATTGATAGAGAAGTGAACGGTAATAAAGGGGAGAACACAAAATTAAGATAAAACCAAAACATTAAAGATGGAAAACTTAAAGAAACGCAAACTCTCAAAGTTGTAAAATGTTAAAAACACTTTATATGTTGTTATCATAAAAAACAGTAAAATAATGAACCAATATTTGCAATTTATTCCAAAAAAACACTTTAGCAAGAACTATTGATTTCTTATAAATAATATTTTTAGAAAAAATTATTTCGATTGGTAAATTTTACCTTAGATTTTGAACGATTACGAAGAGCACTAAGAACTTCGATTTACTTCAACAAGATGGCTGCCAAAGAAGAACGATGACATGTGACTTCATAGAACCAATAGGAGAGAGTTATTAATAATATTGACCAATAGGAATATAGTACCCTCTTGTAGTATAATACATATATATTTGTACACACAATGCCTAAATTCATCTAAATTTTCTATTTATATTTGCTAAAAATTCCTAAATGTGCATGTATGTTGTACCTACTTATTAAAGTTTCATATTTGCAAAGTTTACTGATCAAAATTACAATATATACAGTAGAATTACATCTAACTATAGAACAAATGGTACCATTACATTATTGCTTTCCTATGATATGCAATTTGTTTAAAACATATTTGATTAACACTATTTAACAAAGCATTTAAATTTTCATATTTTTGCTAGAAACAAGCAAAATATTAAACATACTTTTACTTATATCACTTTTTCATTACAATCAATTTTCAAACAACATATACCATTACATTGATCAGTCTAAGGGCTTAGTTTTGATAAGTGAATTATAAAAAAAAACTTTTAATAAGACTTTTAAAAAAATTATTTACATTTTCAAATTTCTGTATAATATGCAAAAAAATACAAGATAAACTAAATTATATCTCTTTATGATTACAATCAATTTGAACACAAATGCCACCATTATATTGATGAGGCTATGTGCTTTCTTTTGATATGTGATTTATATAAAATATCTTTAAAAAACATTATTTAAAAAATTATTTACATTTTTAAATTTCTGTATATTATGCGCAAAAAACACAAGTTAAACTACTTCATATCTCTTTATGATTACAATCAATTTCAGCAAAACTGGTACCATTACAAAGAGGATGAGATGTGTAATGCAGTTAATAGCTACCTATGTGTAAGGAATGATAAGCATTAATCATTTTTATAGATCCACAAAACTTCTACATGGGCTAAACTTTCAGTTTATGAGCAATTTATATTCACGTTGGTCAGGATCAAAAGATTCCCTAGTCTCAAGATGTTATGTGATTTATTTGGAGTGTCAGAAACTATTGGCAGCAACATATTCTTGACATGGGTGAAGTTTCTTGAGAAGGAATTAAAGTTATTTATTCCATTTACCACTTTGAAAGACATGGAAGGAATAACCCGGCCTAAAGTTTACGAATCTAATCCATGTCTTCGTGCAATAATTGATTGCACAGAATTCTATATACAAAAAACCTTCTCTTCCTTCAAGTCAACGTCGGACACATAGTAACTACAAAGGCAGAAACGCCTTCAAACTATTTATTTCCATGTCACCGCTTCTACATATCAACTATATCTCTACATTGTTCAGTGGTTGCATAAGCGACAAGGAAATCATCAAGAGATGTGGATTTTTGGAAGAGTTAGCTGCAGGGGATGAAGTCATGGCTGACAAAGGATTTAATATCCAGGATTTACTTGCCCTTCAACATGTCCGTTTAGTTTCACCTCCAATTATGCATAAAGGTAATGTTGGCACTGGTGCAAAAAAAATGACAAGGAGAGTAGCTACAAAGAGGATTCACATTGAAAGAATTATTCAACGACTGAAGTCATTTAGTATATTACAAGGTGTAATCCCATTAACAATGAAACCACATATTGATTCTGTTGCGTCTATCTGTGCAGCATTGGTTAATTTGCAACCACAGATTATTGCATCACCTTAAAAACATTGTATATAGAAGTTTTAAAAAATATACAATAAAATATTCCTTTGTGTTAGAGATAATAATAATGGACTCCGTCGATTTCGACGTATGAGGGTTCCACAAAGTGGAACATCCTGGTTACTGAAATTATAGTGAAGGCAGCTGACCAGACTACAATCACTCGTACCTTTCACGCAACTACAACGCTGATATCAGCGTGACACAGTGTGACAAGGCTGCAACATTGCAGATGCAGATACAGTCCATCCTAGGACATAGTTTCCTCTACCAAATTTCCTTCACATGGCTTTGGTCAACCCGGGCTAGGTTTACAGACACATTGCCAGATGTGCCACGAGCCGGGATTGAACCTGCGCCGTCTGGCTTACAGCTCACGCAATTAACCATTCAGCCACCCGCCCTGTTAGAGATGCACTTAGATCAATGCAGAGTAAACAATGTGTGCAAAGTTCTGTGCCATTTATTTCTTTCCATTGTGGCATCCTTGTTACTGAACCATTTATGTTCCATGAGAATGAAATCATTGGGACATTTCTCATATTTTTCAATATCCTAAAAAATGTTGTGAGATTGAAAAAGTAAGCACTCTTCCCTATGTTATTGCATTGAGTATATCTTTCCTATTATTAAGCTCTAACTTGAAGAAACATGTAATTTCCATAATTACCTTCAAAAAGTATTTAATAAAAAGTGATACAAAAACAGCACAGAGATTTGAAGAGATTTCCTGCTGTAGGACCTACCAAATAATGCATATAGCAAGATTTATTTTCTCAATATATTTTATTGGTGGCATGATAAGAACTCACTTTTAACATATGATGAGAACGATGCTTTCTTTTGATGCTGTGCTTTTGAAAGGTGTAGTCCAAATATCTTCAGAATGAAAAGTAAAAATTCTAATCCAACAGTAACATAGCAATGAGAGTAGGCATAGTGCAATGGAAAAACAATTACTGTGAAATATATTCAAATGTCGATTTCTTGTCTTCTTTATCCCAAGTTAAAGAGTCCAGAACAAGGATATGCCTAAATATGAAATTGGTTACTATTGTAACATTACATGCTTTAAAGGAACACATGCAATATAGCAAATGTTGCTTTTCCTACCATGGTGAAATGATGGCCAAAAACCAGTGTAGGCTAAAATAATGGAATAAAAATTTATTTACATTTTTTTGCAAAAGATGCTACATTTGTTGTCTAAAGCATTTTTACCTTCTGTTGATTGGCACAAACACATAATCTTTTTCAAGTAACTGTGCACTGAAAAATTGTTCTGCAGCTTGGATTCTTTCTAGTCTACAAACATTAAATACAATGTATAAAAGTAGAATATTTGAAAGATAAGTGAAATATCATTGTCAGTTACTGAAACCTGCTTGATGTTCTCCCTTTCAGTTCTTGATCTCCCACAAGAACAGAATAGAATAAAGTGTCTACTATGGGGTATTTACAGCAGTGATCACTACAAATGAAATTATACAGTTCACTAGCATTAGTAAATTTACTTTGGTAGTGTAATCAACCTATTTGCTATTTTAAAATCAATCAATATTGCATAGAAAGAATATACCTCATTAATATAGACAAGATTGTGTCTGTGATAAGTCCCTTTGGTTGTAGACTGTCTAAGTCTTCTTGTTGCACATCAAAGCCAAATAAGACAACAGACTTCATCGGCGAATCACTGTTTTCTGTCTCTAAGATGCTTACCGTATCATCTAAGGAAATTAAGAAAATAATTGAGGAGCATAACAAAACATCCTGGCTCTTAATAAACCACTTGATACTTGATATGTGATACCTGCTTTGCATAAAAAAGCAGCCTCTTTTTCATCTTTGCTCCCCGGATTTTTTTATGAACATACTTTATCTTTGTGGAGCCTATCATAAGCAACATTACTGCAAATTAGCTTCAAGTAAATTTGCTAAGGTAACACTCAAATTAAATGCTTACCATTTGTACATTCAGAAGATACCTTGTTCAAAATTTTTTGAACATGTGTGGCACAACCTTGGTAAGCCAAAATTGTTTAAGCTTCAAAGAAATCTTTTGAAAGAACACTGGAGCATATGTCACTTGGTGGCAGAAAATTCCTCTCGTTGTCAAGACTACCAAATCACACTTTTTCAGTCCAGTAACATGCATGAGCAATTGAATTTGGTAAAAATAACTGGACTTTTCTTGAAGAAAAAATTTGCCATTTTCCCATCTACCACCAATGCCTCTTTGGGATCACGATATTTGTGGGTCCACGGACATTTATATTCCACTACAACACTATTGCATTTAGGCATACACTTACAACTTGTCATGTTATCAGGACTAGGACCAAGAAAAGGTGTCTCTTTTGAAATCACGAAGCCTTTTGAAATTAAACTAAGTTGTTTATGTTTATTTGCTTGAACACTATAGTAAGCCTTCCTAGCACTTTGTTCATGTTTCAGTCCCCAATCGAGTGGATTTTTAGGATCATCAACCAAATGTTTTCTCATTGTTGCGACATCTTTTTCTTCTGTTAGCAATTTTACGAGAGAAACATCCGTCTCATGTTTCTCAATGGAAATCTGCCTTGTGTAAGTATTCTTAACTTTTGAGGCAGTTATAAATCCTCTTTTATGGGTGTACCAATCACTACATTGAAATTGCTTTTTAGTGACTGAAGCAATATCCTCAATCTCCTTATTTGAGAAGTGGAGACTTTCCATCTTGAACGAGGAATTCCTAGTAAGCGCGAGTCATCAGCTCGCGTTGATTACGTCCCTGCCCTTTGTACACACCGCCCGTCGCTACTACCGATTGAATGGTTTAGTGAGGCCTCCGGATTGGCACTGTCAGATGAGTTCCGGCTCATCCGATGGACGTCAAGAAGCTGGTCAAACTTGATCATTTAGAGGAAGTAAAAGTCGTAACAAGGTTTCTGTAGGTGAACCTGCAGAAGGATCATCACCGTACAATAATATTTCGCTTGTGTTAGGTTGCTTACATTTACCTTCACAATCGAAGAACTCTGAGAACCTTATAAGTAAATGGAGGTGGACATTTCTACGTCCTTAAATGGGTGGATGGAAGCAACAATGTGGAAGCCAATTGTGTTGTGCAAACTCAAATAAGCCTCCCTTTGCCATTTCCCGGCCTCTCGCGTGTTTTTTCATTTAACTTGATGTTTGATTACATCAAGTAATGTGTAATTACAGTTGTGTGATTACAAAGAATTGAAGCCTATAATGTTTACAACTTTTAACGGTGGATCTCTTGGCTCGTGCATCGATGAAGAACGCAGCCAGCTGCGATACGTAATGTGAATTGCAGAATATAGTGAATCATTGAATCTTTGAACGCAAATTGCGCTCTTGGTTATACCGGGAGCATGCCTGTCTGAGTGTTGGTTATAAACAAAACTTCCAGGATGCAATGTCTTACTGAAAGTTGAATGAAGTGTCGTGGGGGATAGCAATATGCTAATGCCGTCGCGTTCTTCTAAGTACAGCACGTTTGTAGCCCTCTTGCAGCAAACAAGGCAAAAAGCTAAACTTGCAACCTTGTTGTGTCAACGTGAAATGGCAACGCTCGTGATGACAAGCCAAATTGTGCATGTGCATACATCTTAACCTCAGGTCATGCAAGACTACCAGCTGAATTTAAGCATATTAATAAGCGGTGGAAAAGAAACTAACAAGGATTCCCTAGTAATGGCGAATGAAGAGGGAATAGCTCAAATTCAAAATCTCCATTGTGTTGCAATGGCGAATTGTAGTTTCGAGAAATACTTTCCCGGCACGTCGGGCCTGCCTAAGATGCTTGGAACAGCATGTCATAGAGGGTGACAACCCCGTACGTGGCAAAGCCCCTTATGTTTGCGACGTGTTTTCGAAGAGTCGGGTTGTTTGGGAATGCAGCCCAAAATGGGTGGTAAACTCCATCTAAAGCTAAATATGGGCACGAGGCCGATAGCGAACAAGTACCGTTAGGGAAAGATGAAAAGGACTTTGAAAAGAGAGTTAAAAAGTACGTGAAACCGTTGAAAGGGAAGCGAATGGAGTTAGCAATTCGTTTGTCAGATTCAGTTGCATGCACGCAGCAACGTGTCCGCTATTGATCCGCATGGACAAGGTGGTTAAAGTGGTTTGATACCAGCATTAGAGCCAATATACGCCAATGGTTGAAATTTCCAGGGGACACTCCAGTGGCTTTCTTTTATTGCTGATGGTGGCCTCTGTATCTCTTCATTACGATATACCATCCCTGTAATGAAGAGGAGGCGACTTGATAACGTCCTCTCAGCTGCTGATCCCATTTCACAAGCCCTGTTTGGCTCATCTTTTTTTCAAAAACTGATGAGTGAAACCCCCAATACCACTCTGGCTGGGCACTTGGTGAACGACAAGCAGTCCTTGCTTAATGCTTGGGCTGAGGTGTTGCACACCAAGGTGGATGGGAGAGGATTCTCGGAGGCACGGGCATGCCCGCAGGGAAGTCGCTGGGTAAGTAATCCCCCCCGGAATATTTCTGGGGCTAACTTCATCGCTTCGATCAAGGCAAGAGGTGGGCTCCTCTCAAGTAAGTCACGAAATTCGCGTGGCCGACCTGGGGGAGATAGGCTTTGTGATGCATGCATGCGACCGGAGACGACACAGCACATCATCCTAGTATGTGCGAGAACCAGCGGTCCTAGGATTCGTAGGCATGATAGGGTCGTTCAGTTCGTCTCGGCTGCGGCTTAGCGAGCTGGCTTCTCTGTCATGGTCGAGCCTAGGACTGTTGGGCGTACTCTGGGCGTGCGGAAGCCTGACCTTGTCCTCTGGGACAGGGAAAGGGCTTTCGTCGCTGACATCACGGTCACTTCCGACCAGGTCGGAGGAGTTAAAGCACATCGTGATAAGGTCGCCAATTATGACCAGCCGGAGATTCGGGAATGGGAGCACTGGGGTATCCAATATTTCCTTTTCTGCGGTTGCCGCCAATTGGCAGGGTGTGCTGTCACCTCTCAGTGCAGACGTTTTTAAGTCTGTTCTGAAATGGTCCAGTTCGGGTAATTTCACTTCTTT